TCAAGCAATGACACCTGTGTGGGTAGGTTCTTATTTCCTACAGACTCCCTGTGCCTGTCAAATGTTGTGACACTTCTTACATCCAGGTTCGTTTTCTCCCATTCAGTTCTTACAGTTTCTGAAGCTAGTTTTTCTGGGCTTTGTTGTTCAACGAGTTTGTACTAGATGTCTCCACATAACTGGCTCTGCTAGCTTTTCCAAATTCTTTTAGAGATCTATTCTCTCAAAAGCAATCTTCAGAATAGAGGGAGTCTAACAAGTGCATGTAGATTGTTACAACAGTTCCAAAAGACATAAAACTGCTACTGGAAAATCAACAGGTTCCCACAATGAGGAAAAACTGTCCTCTTGTGAACTATCCCCACACCAGTTCACAGAAGCAAACTTGACTGGTAATGTGCCTGTAGCATACAAATCTATTAGTAATACCTTGGACACTAACATGGGAAATAGCTAAGGGTTGAGCCACAGGGCCAGAAACACTCAGGGGCTTGAGCTAGGAGGCTTTTTCTTAAAGACATATGGGTTAACTGCATTGCCCTCTACTTAAAAAGCATGGAAAACCATTTGCTATTTCATTCGGGATCTGAAGGATGAAGGAGTAAGCATGAAGACTCTGACTAGAACACAGAAGCAGGACCAAGAATGAGCTAGTGGATTTTCAAGATCTGACAGAAGTTGTCTGAGGTCCCTCACAGCCCTCCAGAACTAAGTCTGCCACTTGGAACCTAGCAATAGGCCAGCTCTAGGAAAAGGTAAGAAATGAGCTTGCATGGTTCTCCTTATCATAGGTAAGGGTTCTAAACAGTAGAAGATCTGGGGGGGGGGAGTGGGACATAACAAGAGTTGTTATGGGCCACGAGGACCAGAAGGACAGAGGTAGATAAATGAGGTACATAGCAATCTAAGTGGCTTGTCCCAGCCCAACAGGGCTGTGCAAACAACTTCAACCTGTTGGAAACCTCACCCTCAGTCCTGGGACATAGCCAACATGCACTCCTGTTTTAACCAAAAGCATGAAGAAATCCAACTTTACTCAGAAATTGTTTTCAACTGCCATTCTGGTCCAGCTTACTGGTATAGGTCTACAGTCTTCACTACTCATGCGAATGAGACAGGAGGGCCTCGAGTTCATGGGTGGGGGAGCTACGAAGGGGGTTAAAGAGCAGCCTGGGCAACTTAACAAGACACTATCTCAAAAATAATATTTTTTAACTATGTGTTATTAGTGGGGGAGGGGGTGTCACATATGTGTGGAGGTCAGAGGATAACTGTGTGGCATCAGCTCATGTCCTCTCCAGGGACTGAGCTCAGGTCCCCAGGCTTGCACAGCAAGTGCCTTTACCCAGTGAGCTATCTTGCTCCAGTTAAAGGTTTTTGTTTGTTTTTAAGGGAATATAATACAGTGTTTACCTAGAGTGCACGAGACTCTAGATTCAACCTCAGTCCAAAACACAAAACAAGATTTAAAAAAGCAAAAGCAAAATCTACCACAACTGTAACATCAACCCAAGTATTTGTCTGTGTGTGTACAAGGAACTGAACTTAGGACTCTACCAGACTCTATATTCTCAGCCTAATATTCAATCTCTGCACAGACAAACTAGGAAAAGTCTGCCTTATCAAGGACTATCAAGAATCCAAAGCAAAAATGAGAAAGATCTTACCCACAGCACACTTTAGACATATAGCATTTAAAACCAAGACATAATTTACAAGACTACAAAATCCATCCTTTATAAGTGTACAATTCAGTGATTTTGTTTAATACAGTCACAAAGTTGTACAGTCAGCATCACTATTTACATTAGAACATTTTCATCCCTTTAAAAGGAAACCCTGTACCTATAAACAGTCATTCTCCTGCCTCTACAGACTTGTGTCCTGGAGATTTCATGCCAAAGGAGTCACATAATCTGTTGATGTTTTGTGTCTGCCTTCTTTTTACACAGTGTGTTTTTATGGTTTGTCCAGGCTGGGCATGCCATCAATAATTCATGTTTCTGGTATGGACATGTCACTACCTGACCATTTGGGCTTGCTTAGTAAATGTCCTTAAGTCTTTTATATATTCATAAGAAGATTTGACATTTCTTGGGAACAACTAACTTCTATTTTATCTGGATTAGTTTTCTCATCCTGCTAATGGGATACAGTGTAATTAATCAATCTGAACACATCTAAAGATTATACAAAGTTTGCTATGTAGGTGATGAAACCCTACTTAAGAACTGCACAAGAAACGCTTCTCAGCAGGCTCTTTCGACAGTGGACCTCTGCAATGTTCACCTGCTTGTCTCTAGGGGTCATCACATCATTGCACACAATCCTTTTTAATGTCTCCTTCTCCCTTAGCAGGTGGGTGGGTTGAAAGGCTTTTCCTTTTTAGGGGCACAGTCTTTTATCTAAAACCAAATCCAGGATTTGTCATGTAGTAAGTTTTCAGTGGAGACTGACAAAGATAAAACAAAAAAAAATTAAAATTAATTTCGTAAATCCCTATTAAAAATTCAACAGAGATGAACAGGCCAATCATCCTTCAAAGTCTAAGACTTGACTCTGGAATGAATTCTGTAATGCATTGTTTAATTTATTTATCTTCCCTAAGACATACTTAAATTTTTAAAATTATATTTGTATATTAAAAAAACTTCAAGGAAATCCCCATGGCTGACATATCTCAACCCTGATTAACGCCTCCTATGTCAAGCACTGAGGCAGTTTCTGATGGCCCTGCTCTAAGATGTGCTTCTCTGTAGCTGAGGGAACTGTGTGTGCCAAGATGAGGAAACAGAATGCTACTTATTTATTTCTTCCCAGTTTCAGGAATTCCTGGTACTAAGCTTAAAAATGATTCACACTGGAATCTGTTGTGGAATAGAATATTAGTTTAACGATGTAAAGATGTGTTACATTTATTTGTGTTGCAGAATAATTGTTTAACTATGTAAAAATGTGTTACGTTGTGTTGCAAAAATAATTATGTAAAAGTGTGCTGCATTTGTTTATGTTGCATTTGTTTACCTATGTAAAGGTGTATTGCATTTGTTTATGCTACACTTGTTTACCTATGTAAAGGTGTGTTGTTGCTACTTCACCTTGCCTGCTTAAGGCACCTGACTGGTCTAATAAAAACCTGAATGTCCAATAACTAAGCAGAGGAGGGACAGGTGGGGCTGACAAGAATCAAGAAAATGCCAGCCAGCCAGCCAAAGAGGAAGCAGGAAAGCAGGATGGGCAGAACCCAGATGAAGTAAACAAGCCTTGGGGCAGCACGTCAATTAATACAAATGGGTAAATTTAAGTTAAAAGGAAAAGAAAAAAACAAAACAAAACAAAAACAAAAAACTAGCTAGAGACGAGCCTAGCTAAGGCCAAGCATTAATAATTAATAATAAGTCTCCATGTTATGAGTTGGGGGCTGGCAGTCCAAGAAAGCCTGCCACAAGAATTGCCGGTTTTCTTGGATTCATATTATTTGGACAGGAAGAAATTAGAAATTGGATTTAGCCTAATTGTTTTCCAAACCAAAAAGGTGGACAAGGGATAAAAGACCAATCTGCAGGCTGAGCTGGTCAACGCAGCACAGCCGGAATAGGCGCTCAGGGGATGCTGAAGTCACCACAGCACCCCTGATGGGCCAAGATTGAAGAGGGCTTACTTCCTAAGAGAAAAAAGCAGAGGCAAAAGCACAGAAGCCACAACTTTCTGCTTTTATTAAAAGTGAGGGTGAGAACTGGAGCTCTTAAACATTATTCCCTAGTTTGGGTTTTAAATTGCCAGAGACACAAATGTCATGCTGGGAAATAAATTGAGCATCATGTCTTCTATACTACCCAAAGGTTTCTCACTACAACTAAATAGCTTTTGATTTTGTATGACCCTAAATAACCTCAGTCCCTCTTCCCACTACCAAAATCTATAGTCCATTGACCAGAAGAACAGGCACGTGCTCTAAGCCTGCTGATCAAGTTGGTACAAACAGGGCTGATCAGAATCCTTCCTAGAAATATGCCTGATACAGATGCTCAGAAAAACAAACCCCTTCCCACCACATAAAGGAGGTCCATAATAGTAGAGCCTAAGAGAATCAGAGCTCTGATGTCAAATCACTGGTTCTCAGTCCCGAGCTGGTCCCTTTCATCTTGACAGTTCACCTTTTATCTTTTTAGAACATTATTTTACTAACTTATTTTTATGAGTGTTTTTACCTGTGTATTCATGGTGCCCTTGGGGGTCAAGAGGGCGTCAGATTCCCTGGAACTGAAGTTACAGACAGTTGAGATCCACCATGTGTACTGGGGATCCAACCCAGGTCTGCTGTGAGAGCAGCCAGGGCTCTTAATTGCTAGACCATCCTTTCAGCCCATAACTTTGTATCTTTATCAGCTTCAGACCAGAAGATTTCTTTATTCTTAAAATTCTTTGAGCTGGATTTTTTTCTGTCAGACATAACTCAAAAATCCAATTATACTCATAACCCGAACTACACTAATTGAACAAAGAGGACGAAGATAATCACAGAACCACCAGTCTCACTGAGAATCTCTACTGTCCTTCAAAGTCTTTGTTAATTATTTTAGATCTGGATGTCTCTGGGCAGGTTCTGCTGTGTTTCCAATCTATTACTAACATACTATAACCACCAATGACACTCACCATTCCTGTTACAACAACACCTGTTATATGGGCCCTGAATGTACGCATTTGTCAACACTTCACTAGGGCATTCCTAGAATTTTTCAAAACCCTAACACAAGCTTGCATCATTTAATTTCCTATAACAGCTGGACAGAAAATATATCCCAAGCAATATATTAAGTGGAATTTAAATTTTTTTTTGAATTTCAAAGACAGTTGAGGCATCAATTTCATAAAACAAAATTTCCAGTTTAAAGCAAATCTAACAGGGATAAAGCAATTCAATATACTTTATCATAATAATAGCATGTTTTCTACTTCATAACATTTGAAATTAGTGACAAAAATCTCAAACATACCTCCAGTAAGGCTCCTGTTTGGAAAAATTTCAAAGGCTTCTCTATTGAATAATAAAGACTGTGGTAGCTGCCCTTAGCCAGATACGCTCTCACAAGCCCAACTGCTATCACCAGCCACCTAGTCAAACAGAGAAAGTGCAATTAGGAAAGAGAACAAAAAGTAAGTTGGACTTACAATAATTAAAAAAAAGACATAGTAAAAAACACTGCTTGTTTTTTTTAAAAAAGAAAAAATATCCTAGAATCCTAGATTTATCAAATGCAGTGGTTTGGCTCTAACAGTGGTTCTCAACCTGTGGGGGTCAAGCAATCCATTCACAGGGGTTGCCTAAGACCATCAGAAAACAGGTATTTACATTACAATTCATTAACAGTAGCAAGATTACAGTTTGAAGTAGCAACAAAAATAATTTTATGGTTGGGGCTCACAACAATATGAGGAACTAACTGTATTAAAGGGTCAAGTGTTAGGAAGGCTGAGAGCCACTGGTCTAATGCCACCACCCCGAAGGGCATGGTCCCCACAGTGACACTACTGGGAGGTGGTGGGACCTTTGAGAGGTGAGGCCTAGTGAGAAGTAAGTCACTGTGGACGTGCCCAGTGTCCTCTCTCTTCCGCTTTTGTGGCATGATTACAAGGTGCACAGTGCTGTTCCTGCTTTGTCACTTGACCCAACACAAGGAGGTCCTTCAGCTGTGGGCAGGACCTCCAAAACTGTGCACCAAAACAAACCTTCCTTCTTTGCAAGTGTGGTATAAAAGTGATGGACACACAGACTACAGCTCCCAAAGGCCAAGTTGTAGCACAAATAAGTGTTACACCACTTACAGAATCCTGTTAAAATAAAATTGCACAGTGGCACCTCACTCATCCGGGGCTTGGCTGTTTAGTAAATATATCTGCTGAGAACAAGGCTAATACAAATATGGTCTTTGTGCAGTTAAATCACATCCCAGAAAGTCTAAGGGGAATAAAGTGTTTGGTTTGTGCTGTTAAAGGGTCTTTAATAATAATATTAAGACTGGAAAAATATTTTAAACTATTTTCACAATGTCTCAGTGGGACATGTCTATATATAATCTTTCTTATCTAAATCACCTATGGAATATGAATTTAAAAGTTGCCTTTGAAAAAAGGACAGTTTTAAATTTCCCAAAACCAAATGAGATCAATAGGCTTATTGATTGGAAAAACATGAAACAAGAAAGCCAGGAATATACAGTTGTGAACATTACCTTTCTGCTCCATTTTCCTTCTCAAAAATAAATATTTGGCCCTAGGATTCCCTGTTAAATTCCATAATGAAGCTGTCCTCAAACTCACTTTGTAGACGAGGATGGCCTTGAACTCAGAGAACCACCATGCCCAGCATGAGCCTTTGTTTTAACACCTCCCATTTCTGTTACTAGCAATAAGCCTACCTCTCTCCCAGCCAATTTCTTCATTAAAAAGCAACATACTAACTGTAAATCTACAGTAAGTGTAATTAGCATGTACTACTATCAGCATCTGAAGGATATACAAAATTAGCTGATTCAAGTAAGGTGACCTGGGTGGATCGGCCCTGTATAGTATGTCTTGGTGTATATCTTAAAATTTGCCGATGTATTTCCTATTCTAGAAAACAATTAAAACTGGATTTTCAATATACAGTCCTTAATTATTTTCTGTATATTTGAAAGCTTTACCTAAAAAATAGCTGGGGAAAAATAGCTACAGTGGTAGAGATATAGCAGAGAAGAGTGCCTGCGTGAGGCCCTAAGTTCAATTCCCGGACCAGTAAGTAAACAAAGGAATGACTACTAGGGGTCTAAAGTGGTGGCATGGGCCCCTAATTCCAACAGTCAGGAGGATCACAAGTTCCAGGCCAAACAAGACTACATAAAGAGCTCTAGTCTTTAAAAAGCAAAGAAAGAAAAAGTAAGTGTGTGTGTGTGTGTGTGTGTGTGTGTGTGTGTGTGTGTGTGTGTGTGTAAAGTGGTGGCATGGGCCCCTAATTCCAACAGTCAAGAGGATCACAAGTTCCAGGCCAAACAAGACTACATAAAGAGCTCTAGTCTTTAAAAAGCAAAGAAAGAAAAAGAGAGAGAGAGAGAGAGAGAGAGAGAGAGAGAGAGAGAGAGAGTGTGTGTGTGTGTGTGTGTGTGTGTTTTCAGCTTAGAAATTTCCTAACAAATTATATTGTGATCCACCAATTCACCTCATCAAAACCACACCGGATTGCGAAATTGGGTTCACCTAGCCCAATTCCACCTAACCGAAAAAAACCAGAGGCCCAGAGAAAGCAGCAGATTCATTCAAAGTCACAGTGCAAGTTGCGTGAGAACCAAACTAAAACCCCGCTATTAAGGAACAGACTGAAATGGGCTAACACCATTTTTGAGGGTCGATACTCTCCCAACCTCAACTTGCCCCAGTCCTATCTAGGAAGTCTAAATCCGTCCATCGGACAGCTCCGACTCGGGTGGCTGGCCAAAAACTTTGAACGCGTCCCCACTCCCTGGGAGATGCAAGCAAGCTCTGCCGGGGTTTTGAAAACCACCGCTGAAATGAATGGTCTCCGCAGCCAGCGCTGCTTCTGTGGCGCGGCTCGTGACCGGCCGCCCGGGCTGGCCTCCCCTCCGCTCCGCTCCGCTCCGCCCCGCACCTGTGGCCAGTCCGCCCGGCCGCCCTGGCGAGGCCCTGCCCGGGCAGCCCCGGACCAGCCTTCCCCGCGCTCCGCCGGGCCCGCACCGCGCACCGCGCACCGAGCACCGAGCACCGCGGCGGCCCCGGGTGCCGGTTCCCACACTTGGCCGCAGAGCTCGCTCCCCGCCTCCCCGCGCCCAGCCTCACCCGGCCGTCATCACCACATTGTAGATGACCAGGTACGCCGTGGCCACAGGCCCGGGGCCCTTCTTCCTCCGCGTGCCGCCGCCTTCCCCGGCCCCGGCTCGGCCACTGCCGCCCCCATTCCCCTTGGTCGCCGCAGTCGCCGCCCCTGCCGCCATGTCAAGCGCCTGCAGCCCGCTCTCCTCGCGCGTGCACCTCAGACCCGACTGGGTGCTGCGAGGGGGCGGAGGGAGGGGCGAAGGAGAGGCGGGGCCGCAGCACGGGGCGGAGCCGGGGCAGCGCCCACGGGGCCGCCATCTTGGGTGAGGGCAAAGACGCTCTAGGCTCTCCCGCCTGTGGGCTCATCTAGGTTACTGCCGCCATGTTGGATGGGGGTAATTCCTTCCCCATTTCCGGCACGCTGGCACGAGCGTCCGACACCATGTGTGTCTCGGTTAATGTGAATCTGGGCCTCACCTTCCAGGCCTGGTCTTATGCATAGGTGGATAATTTGTCTCTGGCCATTCTCTGTCTTATAACCATCTCTTCCTGCTGGATCCAAAGGATATGTCCCAGTCCCTGTTCTTCTAAGCCTCTCTCAGGTGCTATGTCTTCATCCCTGTACACAATTGTCCAAAATGTTGTCATTTTAGATTAGGGCGATTGACATCAGTTAAGCTTCCATCCTGTCAAGACAGCAGAAGGAACCAGCATTTTTGTAACACGCATCTTTTTCTTCTAACTGTAGCCAAGTTGGGGAACCAGCCTTCAACAGGTTCTTCCTTGTCTCGTAATTTTTAATTAGCCTGCACTGTACAGCGGAGACTCCCAGCAGTCGCTAAGAATTAGGCAGTTCATCTCCATTCATAGGCCTGATTTTTGTGACGGAGGATTTAAGGTGATTCGGTGGTTAGTTGAGGACCATGTGAGGAGTAAAGAGTTGTTTATACTCACAGGGTCTTGGCTAGGTTGGAAACTCCTACCGAGTTAAAACAAAAACAACTTCTGGAAACTGCTTTTATTTGCTGACCCCACTCACTTTTTTTTCTAGGAGTTTCTTTGTCAAATTACCTTACTATCTATGTTCATGCAACCAAGCATCTCCTTAAATAGTTACTATTTATGTAATGGGATAAAATATGTATTGATTCCAAGAAGCATTTATGGAGCATCTACAAGGTTGTACTAGAGTTTATAACACTGACGGAAAAAGACAAAAAGTCTTCAATCTCCCAGAGATTACACAGGAGCCAGACTTGAATAAATATGTAGTAGTTGGTGAAAAGTGCTATCAGTTGGGAAACTATTACAATAACCCAGGTCATGACAGTAGTGAAGTGATGAACACTGAATTTTCAGAATATTTTATTACAGTTCATAAAATGTTTAGACAGAACATTAGATTTTAATGGGACGTAAAAGAGACATTGGACAGCCTGGAAGAACAAATTGGAAAAAAAAAAAGTGATTTTTGAAGGCAGAAATCAGGACTTTTATGTTCAGTTTGAAATACTTTTTAGAAGTCCAAGTGGAGATGTTGACTAGACAATTGAATTTAGACTCTGAGGTTCAGGAAGACCAGAAGGACAGAGAGGGAGGGAGGGAGACAAAGAAGGAGGGAGAAAGGGAGGGAGAGAGCAAGGGAGGGAGGGAGAGAGATTTGAGAGCATCAGGATGATTATAGGATTTAAAATCATGGGATCCCCAAAAACTGAGAGGTAGAGACTGAGCAGTTCTGAATTGTCATCCCTTACTGTTCTCCAAGATTGTAAGGCATCCTGTGGCCTTGTTTTTCCTGATTTCTTTAAAAAACAAGACAGTGAGAAGGGAACAGGTTTGGTTTTCAGCATATACATGGTGGTTCAGAACCATCCCTAACTCTAGTTTCAGGGAATCCATTGCCCTCATCTGACCTCTGAAAGCACTAGGAACACACATGGTACACATACATACATACATACATACATACATACATACATACATACAATGATGGTAAAAACACTCCTAAAATAAATAATTTTTAAAGAGGCAGATCAAAAGTGCAACAAAACCTTTCTCATAAACAAGTGAACTATTTACAGAATAATCATTCACCTAAAAGCTTCTCTCATTCATTTAATTGATTCTCTTTAAAACATAATATATTTAATGGGGACGTAGGAGACACGAATGCATAAAATTGGAAATCAACTTAAAACTCAGTATATCTTCTTGTAGTCATTTTTATATAACTCCATCACTTCTGCAAAGTAAAGGTGATCTTTTCTAAGTACAAATTTGTACACATCTACTACTTCTCTCATCCTGTTCCCTTGTGGCATTTAAATGGTTTTTAATGATACAGTATAAGTGTAAGATACAGTGTAAGAAGTTCAGTGTGACCTTTAATAATCTGAATAGTTTGTTTGTCCCTTTGGTCTTGTTACTTGAGCTTAGGTAATAAGCCCTGGATCCAAGTGCCAACATTCTCTTCACAGCCACCCATCCCAATACACACCATGATGATGAGTAATTATGAAGAGCAGAGAAAAGAGATTTAACCAGTGTGACTACATTGGGAAATACAGATCAGTGGGTGCAGTAATTCATTTTTTTGGAGCACTGACAAAAGCGTTAGGTATAAACAGAAGAACTGGAAAATGAGGCAAGAAGTGTTTGTGGATAAGCAGTCTTGGCCAATGTGGGATTGCCTCAGTTCTGGTTCTGTAAAGTAGGAGGAAGAGTCATATCTATTGAGAAGATAAGCTGGTTCAATGAGAAGATTGTTCCCAGTTGAGGGTACTCTCATAGTAGGATGGTCTGTCTTCAAGGCTCTGCTGTTCCTGGATCCATAGTGACTACAGTATTAGGACAATGACTGGAGACCTTCGGGTACTATAATGGTTTCTGGAACATGATATTGTAAATAGCTGACAGCAAAATAGTTCAGTTACCATTATTGTTGTACCTTTAGTTTTAAAGGGTGCTGGGATAAGTACTACCATGTATCTTAGTCACTGTCCTATTGCAGTGAAGAGACACTATGATCAAAGCAATGGAAGAAAGCATTTAATAGGGGGCTAAGATCCAAATATATGAATAGGGAAGCCATTCTTATTAAAACCACTACAGCATGTTTTAGATAGACACTTTCTGATTGATTAATCTACCCATGAGCAAAATGAAGCATGTAACTGACCCAAAGTAAAGGAGACAGATATTTTTTAAAAATGATGATAGACATGCTTGGGTTTTATTCTGCTTTTAGTTACTTTGTGGCCCATGTAGGAAGCTAGAGCTTTTTAGCAAAAGTATTTTTTGTTGAATGCCTACTGAAGTTTCACTTCCCACCCTGCTCTACCTAGCCAAGCATCTTTATCTTAGTTCCTCTGGTGAACAAGCTTCCTTTTTGCCAAGATAACTTCTGTTGTATTATTCCATCTGCCTAGGACAGCCTTGGTCCTTGTCTTCATAGCTAAATTGTTCAGTAATATTTTCAAGTTTCAGAAGACAAAAACAGAGGTGTATTTTGTTGTTGGGAGCTCATTTGAGTTCCTTCTATGTTTCTCTTTTGTTGCCCAACACACCAACATGCCAAGATGATTTATTCTGGTTTGATCTTGGTTTTACTAATCAAAATAATTACTTGAAGATTTAGAACTACAATTATGGCCCTACTGTGAAATGACTTATAGATGCTTAGATAGTGTTTGTGGTTTTGGCTTGGATTACTAAATATGATACAATCCTGAACATTTTGGTAACTACCCTCTCTTCTATGTATAGAAATACTGTTAACAGAAAAAAAAATACCAGACATAGTTAGATTAGTTATCTTTATGTTGTTGTGACAAAACACCTAACAAAATTCTATGAGGAAAGATTTCTTTTGGCCCCCAGTTACAGAAGGCCTTAGTCCACAATGGTGGGGAATATATAGCAGGTTTCATAGTAATGAGAACATAAAGTAAAAACTTATCTTACAAAGGACCAGGAAGCAGTGTGGGCCTGGAACTAAAGGCAGGACGATAACCTTCAAAGAACTACCTCTAGAAACCTTCTTTAACTTCTAGGCCATACCACCTAAAGGCTCTACAACTCCCCAAAACATTAAACCTAAGCAGGGAACAAGTACTCAAAACATACTTATGGAGACTTTTCAAACTAAAACATAATATTCTTTTCTTGATGCCCATAGGCTCATGATTATGCACCACATTGTGGTACAATTTAAGAGTCCTAAAGTCTTAACATATTTGTCAAAATTCCAAAGTCTCTTCTGGGACTCAAGGCAAACTCTTGACTATACCCCACTCCCAGTATAAAATGGTACAGAGTAAATGTTCCTTCTTCAAAAAGAGGGATGGAGCGATAGCAAGGAGGACTGGGCCAACATGACATATAAATTCATCAGGGAAAGCATTACATCTTGAAGCACTATGTCTGGTGCTATGTGAAAGAACAATAGATATAAGCACATTTGGGAGGTCTACGTAAACATGTTGAGGACTACAAGGCAATTATTACTGTGGGGAAAGATAAGCCACGAAAAGCGTGTGGACAAGGTACTGAGCACAGTGATAAAACAGAGATGGAATGTTATAAAAATCTAGTGAGAAGAATTGAAGGGTGAGTAGTGTGTCTACAGAAAGCTAACCAGGGTGAGATTACAGAAAGCTAACCAGGGTAAGTAAATAGCTGCATTTTGAGTGCTAGGCTGGGGAATTTAATTTTGAACTAAAACATGATAACAAAGTACTTTAAGTGTAAATAGTTTTTGGAAGTATTATCCCAAAAGAAAAATGTACTTCACATACTACTTTCTATTGCCTTTGTAACAGATTACTACACATGTAGTGGGTCAAACAGCACAATTTACTCCCTTAATGTTCTGAATGTCACACATGCAAAATTATTACTAAGGAAAAAAACTAAAGTGTCAGCAAGGATTGTTCATTCTGGAGGTTCCATGGGAGAATCCATTTCTTGCCTGTTGCAACTTCTAAGAATGATAGCATATCTCTACTTCAGCTGTTACTTGTTCTCTGATTTTCATATATTAGTCTGTCTTTCATAGTGACTTTCATGATTACATTAGGAAACCATAGTGTGGGGAAATGGAAATGCACACGTTTAGGAGAGATACATTATTATGCCTACCATATTTTATAACCAGAAAATCAAAACCCCAAAGAATGGAAAAAATGACAAGTATTCATTTTAAACCATTTCT